ACTCTCTCTACGATAGCCTGTTAAACGTTTGATAACTCCACCCCTTCCGTTCTGTTCACACAGTTATTAGTCGGTAATCTCAAAAACCGCAGTAATCAATCATTGGCTTCTTGCTCGTAATCCTCTCATAATTATCTCGACATTGTCCCATTCGATTTCGTGTCCCGCATCTAAGGTGTGTAAAGCCAACGCTGTATCAGTTAGTAGGGACACGTATTCAGACTTGTTCCTCGGTGGAAGCGAAACGTGTCTGCTCTCCTTGTGGGTAGCTCTCTCACTGTCTAACCTATGTACACTCGTTCACATTCTGCAAATGATTCTATAAATATAATTAGTCGTCCTATCTCTTGGGAGTCGATCCCTCAAAAGCGCCAGGGTTGGACGAAGCGTTTGTCAGTTAAAAACTCCACTTATTTTTTCCTTGTTTATTACTCGCCGTATTGCTTAACAACTTCCCATGTATAGGGGATTCCTATCGTTTCAATTCGCTCCGTCGTGCGTCGGGAAGGTGGATTTAGAGCTCACTGCAACTGGCTTACCACTGACCGCCTCGGATTTCCACAGTCTGTTAATGTACACCCTGCTTAACGAGCGGCCTTTCTGTTCTCTTCCTCTGGGCACAAAGTCTGAGTTCTATAAATCAGAGTGAGGATACGATGGTAGCATAGACTTGGTTTGGATGACATGAACTGTGATGGAGTATTCCGTCAGTATCTGTCGGTTTTCGATTTATCATCGTCTTTAACCCTCCTCATTCCTGTGAACGAAGTAACCAGGGTATGGCAGCGTACCACTGCAAGATTCTAGTACTATATTAAAGCTTTTATTTTTATTAATGGAGTCTAGATGGTCTGGAAACATCCTTTATAGCCCGCTTTGTAATTGCAATTGTATCATACACGTAGGTCCACCAAAACTTTGGCAAAATACTGCAGTTTGTCACTGTCTTTCTATTAAATTCTTAGATATATAGATTTGCCAACACGGGTGATATTTGTGACCCCATTTCAATTCCATGCTCTTGAGCCTCCAGTCTCGACTGGAAAGTGAGCTATGACATACTAAGGCATACCTTTATTCCTTCGATTATATGGTCTAAACTGAGGTTCGTTTGCTCCCCCAGTCTATTGTTCTAAGCCAGACAGCGCTGTGCCACCTCCAATGAGTCGTCTTTGGGCACCTTAGTGAATATGGAGCTAACTTCGAAACTAACCATTATTGGTCTGACGCGATGACCAGACCACCTACCTTCGCGTGAACTCATATGCATTCTGTAAGAATGTATTTTTCTCCCTGCCAAATATCTAGTTAATTCGTGGTCCGAGTAGAGATACCTTTCACAATGTGCAGAACGGGAACCTCAGACTTATATATTTCTAGCAGCCCACAAGTCCTAGGCGAGATGGTTGATTTCGGGTATACGTTATGCCATTTACCCGGTCCTAGGTATTACTTTTTATTCCTCAGGTAGTTTCCGACCTTTGTTTTGTTCACGGTGGAAGGTACAGTTTTCTTCTTAATTACTTTGTATAACCCTTTTGCTTTAAGCTGTTTCAATTTTCCCACATAATTTGACTTGTTCATTGTTACTACGGTATTAATTTTATCAGCCTTTAACGAGGCACGTTCCGGTTTCGTAAGACTTGGCTCACCAAGCTTCTGAAATCTGAAAATATCTACTATCTGTGAACGAATATTCGCAGCTGTTGAAACTAACTAACTCGTCACCACGGACTCAAAGTTAGAAATACTCTTTTTTGCAGCCAGTTTAGATTTATTTACAAGCAAGTTCTTACCACTTTCCGGTAATGTACTTCTATTTCACCCAACAACCTAGCTGACACAATAACTACATTGTAGTAGTTACGGCTATCTTCAAACCTATTACTGAGTCTAGTAGTCCTGGTATGTACAGGCATCAAACGATTAAATAGCGATTTGCTTTATTTCGCAGGTATACCTTCTGTTGACTTCAATTCTGAGGCCTTGTTGTAAGGTCTATCATAGTCTACCTGCGTCCTAACGGTCCGCAGCTCCCAGCACAACCGACTAGCTTAAAGTCAGGTTTCATACAGGCATCGAGTTGTATTCAAGGCCTTCTGAAATCATGCATTCTCACTCCGTTCCATGGCTATTCCGAGATAGTGAATTGCTTGACGTTTATGTCAAAAATGTCGGCTTCTACAGAACACCGAATAAGATGACCATATCTAATCGAATGACAAATATTTTTTCTCTTATACTATATACTATACTATACTATGCTCCTTTAGATGTGGACAACTAAACTGACTTTATTGAACCTGCCATCACAGTGAGCATTAAAAGACTTAGTTGAATCTCAAGTTGAATGCGAATTTCGCTTAGATGCACACCAACAGACGGTAGGGCAGGGGGCTTCTCTATTGATAAGACACAACGGAAGTGACTTGGCTGCCTTTGTAAAAGCTTCACTTGTTAAATTAACTGTATAAATTTAGGAGTAATGGACCACAAATGGAACCTCGGTAAAACTGACTTCACCTAGAACGTAGAAGGCAACCTAAAAGAAACTGTAAAGTTCTGATGAACAACTCAGATAAATTCAGAATGGCGCGGGATAGACTTTACATGTACATGATATGGTCATTGTTTGCTTAACCGCGTTGTACGTAGTTGGAAAGGGGATTAATTAGTACAGCTATCTAAAAGTGGTCATTAATTAGTTTACGTCACAAATCAGTAACCATTGAGTTGTTGCAATCAGTACATCGACGAACTGGGTAGGGATGTGCCGAACTATTCGATAAATTTAGTTGCTGATTTAGTGAATTGTTTACATGAGGTTTCACCTAACTGGCTGATACCCAAAATCAGACTTAAACCCATCACTATAATTCTGCATCATTTATAAACTTATATATATGGCAAAAAATGATTGCCAGTTGTGTATACTAGTCTGGAAGATTAACTGGAGTAGTTTGAAAAAACCACAAATTCTTACACATGTACTGACACTGTGGCCGTTACCATCAAGAAGGCGCAACAAAATCGCAGTTGAAAGAGCCGAATTCCGAGGATGCTTTATTTATGTACATTCTACTAATGGTTAAGGTTAGGAAATGTGTATTTGACGACGGGCCATTCTTACCAATTGACTAAATACTGATAGCAAATCCAGTCTTTATTTGTTACACATTAGTGAACGTTTTCGCCAGAAGCACTGCAAAGAAAACTGTTTTGAACATTTCTTTTGCATAAATTTAATTAATTTTTTATCCTGAAGCTAGAAGACGGATAAATGTGGTTAGACTACTCAACGTTCGTGAAACTTCCATTAGAAGGGTACACTTTTCCACTAAACCGTCAACGGAAAAACAAACAAAAGCAGCTGCTTTGGAAAACGTTGCTTTTAGCAGGACAACTGTAGAATACTGTGAATGTTACAACTACATATATACCACTTGTACTGATGGGTTATTCTGGACACTCATATTCTATAGAATCAAGTTATTCCCAAAGCTTTCAAAACTGATGATTTACCGATCAGTACGAAGAGTTTCCAGAGATATTCAAGCCAAATCAGCTGCCGAACATAGTGATGCGGAGCAGATTTAGCTAACATAACAACAGGTACATATATTATGTGCGCGCACAAAATATTTGAAGTTCCCATTAAGGTACATTTAGCTATACGTCGTCTGTTTGTGGAGATAATGACGTCTCAGAAAACCTTTAACTTGATAGTCAGAAAACCTCAGTTCCCGAAATTCACTGCCGAGATTACGACGCGTTGCTTTTGAACAGCCTTGAGACGTATGCACACGAAAATATTATTTATGCAGACAAATGTTCGAAGTATATTTATCTCGTAGTTGGTCCGTTAATCCAAGCAATATGCACAACTGCTCTTGACACAAGACAGTTTGTACGGTAGTTCCTCGAAAAGATGCAAAGTATTGTATTGCAATAGACAGTATTTTCTCAATCAAGAAAAACATTAGTGGAGCATGATATTGCTCTTCTTAAGGACGTGATCTGGGAGTAACCAAATAACTCACAAAACAGCCCTGATTACGTTGGCGTCTATTCACCATATTAGTGAAGTAACGACTAAGCTTACTTTTAGTGGGAAGCGAAAGATGGAGTTAGATACATTTCTAGAAGTAGCTTCGTCACAGGTACAATCAACTAGTCATAGTCAATCTGAAGAAACAACAGCAGCTACAATATCGAGGGAATCGTCAGCAGAACGCGTTCAGTCAGTTCAATGTGAGTTACGAACCCGCGACCCTGTTTACTTCATCGCGGTTAAGACCAGTGTGCCATCGGGATGACTGGCGACCATCATTGCTAACTAACGAGCCGTACCACGTCGCGTAAGCTCACATTTCTCCCCATACAAGTTTTCAAAGTGCAGGAATTAAGGGTGGACACCTGAGCCTCAATTATTAGGGTGTTCTGTAAGAGGGATTGGAAATTATATTTTTAAAGCAGATTCGTGACGCGCTCAAGCCCAGACCTCAAAGAGTAGAGGTCATATGCATATTGCTGCCGTATCTTGAAAAAATGTAACTGCTGCCTATTACATTTCCTTATGTTCTTATTTTACTTATAATCACTCCTTTTTCATGGAGGAAATCAGAGACAGCAAACTTCTTGCCTGATGGTCGATATATCTTAATGGATTCATGATTCCTTACTAGTGCGATTGATGGCTTTTCTCAAAAGGCTTTCAACATGTACGTAGTTGGCCTACAAAACAGTACTGCGCAAAGTCGTTTAAATTTCCAGAATTCATAGTGTACGCTAACACGACTCAACCGATGAAACTAAATCAAAATTTATGAGCCATTGTGATAGAGGAAAGCGACTGGTTGCTCAGTGAGTTCTGCGTCATATCGGCGACCGGTCCAGGAAGCGTTGTGTTTTTGATAGCTCTGTATAGCGGCAAGTATTACTAAGATTAGTATAAAATACCTGCTTGCAAGCTTTCTATCTGAAGTTATCCCTACTCTACCTTATAGTACATGAGAAAAGCAGTAAAGCGCGCACCATACCTTTGCTCCCGCTGAAGAATATGACTCGTCGAACAACATCCATATTTTGGGCTTGTACCGTTGCCAGGAAGTAAGCGACCCAGCTTGATAAGCGTCCTCAAAACCAAATTTAATATACAACTCTTCTTCAGTTTTGCGTTCCGTATCAAGATCCAGATCATTTAGAATCTGCAGAGTCTCCTGTGTTTCACGATGGGAAGTGTAAGTCATCCAGCAACATGGTTCAACCTAAAATAAGAGTAAGATATTAGCTCGCACCAAACAACTTTACAGAAATTTGTTGGAATTAGCGTCACATATTATATTTCAAAGCAGACCATAAGCTTTATGGATAAGTAATTTAATCCGATATACGGTAAAACACTGGAATGTAAAATAAAAACCGACACATCGAGTGACTGAAAATTAACTCAAATTTTTAGCTTCATTCTAGTATTTGTGAATAAACTAGTCATAAATCTAATTTAGCCAGTAAAAGTTGTGATATAGGATTCCTGTTTAGCATTCACAATGGTACTAGAAATCGAATTCTGGTTTTTGCTTCTTAACTGTTAGAACACTTATATGGAATTGGCTCCATTTTCTCTGCGGTGTTCTGATAGTTGTAGCAGTGGATGTTATAGAATTTAATCTTAACTGCTTTAAAAATATATCCACTAGTAAATAAACAGCCGCAGTTAGAATCCCTATCACAAGAAGAGATTAAATGGTTGCCAAATTTGTGCAGCTACTGCTATAATTGCATATTCGTTTGATCTTCTCTAAATCCAAAATAAGCATTTGTTCTACTTCAATATGCTCAAGTAAAAGTTGTTCTTGTAAAGCAAAAGCCGTAACACTTAACCATTCGGCGAGTTTTCTGTTGATGTCCTCTAAAGAGCCTAGCGGTTAGAAAAATGACCCCATAAAGATAACTGCACAAAAGCCCGTCGTTCTTTGGTCCATAAATCTTTTTGATCCTGCCTCCAATTCGAATCTCCCTCACCTGTGATCATTGCACATCTGAACTGCTTGTCTTGATGAATGGAAAAGGCATCAAGAACAAAATGCTTTCGCTTGGAGTAAATCTCCCAGAGTGGTCAGTACCACTGTTTTCGTTCTATACGAAATGAGAGCATCGTTCTCTGTTAGGACCCTAACAGTTTTCGTGGGTAACCGAGACAAACTATGTAGTTAAATTCCTAGCTTGCTTAACGTGACTCACCGTTAATAAACGGAAGCAGAACTCGATATTTGAAAGAATGCATAGGGCTTAGAGATTGAACATTTAACACGAGGTGCACCCTACAACATTATGAAAGTGTTTTAGTTAAATGTGAACATCTAGTTTAGCAATAGTTACAATTTTTATAACCGTTTATTGACGTAAGCCTGTGGATTCAAACGCATCTCAAATCAAGCCGATAAAAGCTTTATGAAGGCTAATGGGTATATTTCCAGCATAAGTCATATTTGGAATTCCGAATAGTTCAGAGGATGAAACGCAGTCCGCAGTAGGCTGCTATTTTGCTCATGCTCATACGTTCCCAATGTAAAACACCACATCTCCACCGAGTACGTATTACATTTTCCTTTTAGTAATTTTCTGATTCAAGACAATGATGCGCATTTTCCATGTAAATTCGACAAATCTTTTATTACAAGGTTATACGGCCCTGATCAATTAAACAGCAATTTATAACTGATAGTTTTAAGCATATATTTTCACCTTACCAAATGCCTGAGATATTTTGGTCACTGTTCGGCTTAACGGTTAGCTAACCAATATGAACGAATCCCAACCTTTGACAATTTGACGATATGTGTGGTGTTCAATCGCATAATTCTTAACCTACACGTTGGTACTACGTCAGTGGTCGCTGTTTGACGAGAATCCCCCAAACTGTGTTACAGGCAATTCCACATATCTTTCTCTTGACGGAAGTTCCCTACTACCTGGCCCAGTGCGAAGGTAACGTATTGCTGCCATAGTTTGAAGATATGACACTTCGCCTGGACAAATGTTCCTCATCGATTATACAACACCATTATTAATTAGCCCAACGGATTCTGGAATTGGCACATGTTTGGACTTGATTTTTATCGATCGAGAATAGTGCACTGACCATTTCGCTGTAACTGGAAAGCGCAGTAAGATCAGGAACTGAATTTTTCTCATGTTGGGCACTATTCTTGGTTAACGACATCTGCTAATCTAACCATGATTACGAACGCGCTGCGCCTGCAAATTTCAATGCAAGCAGACAGTGAACCGGGAAAGCAGTTTAAGCGTGAGTTCCTGGTACAATATTGGCGGACCCACGGTTATAAATAGGGTACTCTCGAAAAGCCTGAGGTGATACTTGATACGTTGTCTAATATCTGTGCCTAACGGTTGGCTTTCGTGTGCGCACACTTCTAGCTTCCTAACATCGAGCGAAAGAGGAAACGTAAACTAAATTGTTGTGGAGGCTCAAGGTAATTTGTTCATTTACTGATATACATTGGGCGAGATAAATAGACCATATAATTGTGTTAAATGGGACCAAACGGAGAGAGAAACTGTGGAATGACCACACATATAACCCAATGTGTTATTTTTGTAAATGTTGATGCCATTTGTTGTGTCAATACATATTCCTTTCAAAGATACAAAATTCACTTTTAGGATTTAGCGCGCATGTCTTCAAGCGCTTGAGCGCGTAATCGATTTGATCCCGATTTTAGTGTTTCGTTATACAGCTAAACTCCATAACTTGAAACCGCTCGTTTAGCTATAAATCTAAAAAGGGAACTTCGATTTACTTGAAGGAAACTCGTGTTTACTTATTGTAGATGTGATCACCAGTAAAAACAATGTAATCTGAGGCATTGCAGGCGAACTATACGGACGTGCAACGAAATAATTCAATGCTTGATTTGAAGCGTCAACTTCATAAGCCACAATAATGCGTTGAAGCCTTCGTGATTTTGCAAATTAACGCGTCAAAATTAGATACACAACCAACGCACAAGGATCAATAGACTAGACATTTTTACTGAGTTTTCAAAAAAATAACTAGGTGTCGCGGGTTCGATAGTCCATTGTTCGGTTAATAACCCTTGGATATGTCAACCCAACAGAAAAAGCCAGTAAAATGTTGGTTCTCCCCGCTACTATTTTTATAGACACTAACAAGTGCTATTAGCCGAGTTTAAAATGAAATGCTTCATGTTTGACGTTTGCTAGCCAACCAAAATTATCCTCAAACTGAAAGCTTTTATTAAACAATACTTTCGTTAATGTGTTTGGTATGCCCAAACATTAACTAAGTCGTTTGCGTGTACGATAGATCAACTCGGCTAGTTTATGTAAAATTTGAATGCGTGATGTCGGTTTTATCTTACGCCAACACTCTCAGCAGAATTTGCTTTAACCTGACAGATTATCTGTCACAATAATATTGTTTTAGAATTTAATTCTATACACGAAAACTTAAGAACAGTTCATTCGCGCATCTCCAAAGAGGTTGCTTAATCTTAAAACGAAGTAGATGGCCTAGTAAGTGACCTGACTGTGTGCTTCAATATCACACCAGAACACCTGCACCAAAAGGCCAGAAGCGCAAGTACGGCACTCATTTTCCTTCTAGCGTGATCTAGGTGTGCTAAGAAGCAATAATTTGGGTTGTTCCAAACAACCCGAAAAGGCATCAGAAGCTGGTAACGAGCACGTCGGTCTATTAAGATGGGCGCTAGGACAAATAGACAACTTTTTTCCGACAGATCCTCAGCGCATATGTACGCTCCCATGTCGAATACTCAATTCAAGCTTGGTGGTCATAGCTGAAGCAAGACCTTAATGTACTGGATTGACCTCAATTTCAAGCTCCCACATACGTTAGCGGAATGATCAATTTCCCATACAAGCAGATACTGAAACTTTCGGGAGCATTCAGAAGACGGTATCGCCGATTTTGGGGCGACCTGATAATGATCTTCTTGAGCATGTGCCATGAAAATCATGTATGCCCCGCTTTACTGCAACTTAGCAATAAAATAAAATCGGGAGGTCAATCGTTGTGACTGGGGGAACAGAGCAGTCAGATGGAATGCCGCAGTAATTTCTTTTCTGTTCGCGTATGTCACCTGTGGACCGCTCTCTCGGAATCGGTTATAACTACACCTACACCAGCATTGTGTAAAAGTCAGTTTGACTATGCACTCAGCCACTTACGTGTTGTTACTCAAAACTGTCTCCCAGTTCGACTGATGGGGAATAGCTTGAATTTATTATTTCTAGCTTATGCCTGCTGTAACCGTATAAGTTCCACTGCTGTTGTTAAAACTGTTAACTGTTCTTTTTCTAACCGTTTCTAGATGACCCCAACACACCATTCGATAAGGCCTGCAAAGCAATGCTTCTTAACTAGTAAGAAGTTATCGTCTATTGCTTAAAACAAAACCAAAATTCATTAAGCCACTGAGTACTCTAGCTTCAGTGCTCCCGCCGTTGCGTGCAACTAGCCGGACAGTAGCTGACAGGGCGAATTAACTTTATGATTTATTGCATATTCTTGCCCTTTCGAGTTTGTTTTAACTGTCTGTTGATTAGGGACGGTATTGTTGCACTCAAATGTTGGTGATCTAAACTTACTGGAACCATTAGTGACGAGAAATTTAGTCACATTTACAACATGTCACCAAACTTTTGTGCAATGCTGTCTGGTCAGTAACCCTGCTGCGTTTGTCAGCCATCCATGTAAGCTCTCAGTAATGGCGACATTATGAACCTACCGTGTGATAACTAGTGAACAGACGGGCACAGACTGAGTTCTGCGGACACATTAAGCCGTTCATTGTTTGTGAGTAAGAGTACTGTCATCTGAGGCAAATTAAAGGTAATACAGAGAAATCCTCGTTCTTTGTCACGTTTTGCATAGCTAAAGAAATATCTGGTTGGTACGCATAAATAGTTTTGGGGTCAGCGGTCATTTGTTGCCCCAGATCCCCGATCCTACATCCTTTATCTACCTCGGCTCACGAAACCAGATTACGTTCATGCATTACGCACATCTTCACGACAAGAAGATTGATGGGCGGATCGCTGAAACTGGCCTAATTTCCATTACATAACTTTAAGCTCTATATAGCTGAAATTAAATCCTTTTGTAAACTGCTCCTCACGGATCGTTTGAGAAAGGTGTGGATCACAGTCGAACATGATAAAGGCAAATAAATTCTTCTTGGTTACTGTATTTCTTGCCATC